CCGTCCGCACTATTCGAACGAGGGGGTTGCATTTTGGTCATGAGCCGAGGAAGAGGGTCGCAATTTCAAGGACTCGCAAATGAAGTTGCGACGGTAGTTGATCGGTGGATGGGGGCTGGGGAGGAACGTTCACAAAGAATGGGAAGTTGTCATAAACTCATAATTATTCTTTACAGGCTCGCCCGTTTCGTTCTGAAGCGTTTCTCCGTGTGATTACTATTTACTATAAAAATTCTTTCTGTCTTCAGCAAAACTTCCAGGGAGAGCTCGCTTCGTCGAATCAGAGCGTGGTAGAAGTGCCAAAAACTGAGCAAGTTCGCGTCATAGCAGGATGAAATAAACCTTCAAATGCCAGCCACAGGCGCGTGCGCGGCGTATCCGAGAGCAATACTTAATTGTGCCTACCGCATCAGATTCGATTTATTATGCACAGAGAGACAATTTTATGCAAATCATGGCGTTTTCTTATTACGGAATAAAGGACGGATGATGCATCGCTATGAAAAGATTGACATCTTGGAGCTGAAGATAAAGTTCTTCAGAGACCTAATTTTTTGGGCACGACGCTCCCAGAGAAATATAGGACATATAAGGAAGAAGAAACTTTGCAGTCCTCAAAAATGTCTTCGCCCCTCCCCAACAAGCTTATTAGAGGAAGTTGTTATTGCTGAAAACTCAAAAACTCGAATGTACTGTCAAAAACCTATGGGGAAAAAATGTGCGAACGTGTGACTTTTTCGAAAAATGAACTTTGAGAAGCGGTTTAATGCTTGTTAGAAAGAGCAAATCCTGTACCTTCTCCTCATGCAGAATATGAATCGCAGAAATGAAAATGAAGTGAGTTATGGCCGCTGGAAGCACAAAAACTCGCCTTCGCACGGTAAATGTGCGAACGAGACAATTTTCTGAAAAAGGGGTCGATTACGAAACTTTTCATGTTGTTTTAAAAGAGAAATATTTGGATTCTGAAACTTTCTACTACTTTCCAAAAAGTCGTATACGAAAGATATTATGGACCTTCAAACTTGGAGGTGCACGTTCTTAAAAGTTTGGGTTTTCCACTTTAAACAGAAGTACTTTCTGGCATGTTAGGTAACCCTTGCAGATTTCTTAAAATTTCCCGCCAGTCTTTGTTCAGACCATATCCCATTCAAATGTCACCTTTTCAAGAGTGCATGGTCCACGCACAGTTCAAATTTACCTCAACCATTCAAAAAAGTATGTAACAAGAAAGTTATTTCCTTCTCCGCGCCCCGTTCTCTCACCGTCTGGGTGATACCTGCCGCGCTCCAAGGCTAACGCCGCACGCACCTGGACCCCTTCAAGAGGGGGGTGCAAAAATTTCGGAAAAGTGCCAACTACGGTTGACCCTGGTGCACAATCCTTTCTGGTGCAATTTGGCTCAGGCAGTCTTTTAGAGTTAGGAACTGCTGTCAGCTATCTGCTTTCCGTGGTTTCAAACGCGTTGAGCGTTCTAAATCGCGCCCCCCTCCTTGGATGGAACCCTATGAGAACTTCAGGCGCCCATCCAGTAAGGGGGCATCAAGTGGCTGCCCTCAACCTCCCCCTAGACTGCAAACACGCCCCTGGCGCCCAGGTTTCTACAAAGTACGGGACACCATGAGCCAGGGGGAGTGAAGCTTCAGGGGGGTGGGGTGAGGAGCCTATTAGACGTTGAGTCACAATGCCCCCCCCTTACGGATGAGCGCGACGTCATTCGTAGAACGGGGATGAGGCGAGCTTATCCCTAGTTGGAAATAAAAGGATAAGGGGATAGATCGCACATGAAAGCGTCCTCACAGCTGTGTGTACCCGTATTGCAGCGCGCTCAGCTCTCATTGAGGAGGTGAAATGAACGGTGTAACCATCATGTAATCATCTGTTTTACCGCAATTGGTCTGTTAAGAGTAGGAAACTGGGAGAGGAAAAGAACGTTTTCCAGAATTTCTAATAAAAGTAAATATTTTGTAGAGCGTTTAAAAGTTTATGGGGTTTTGGCTCAAACAAGTCTCTTTCCTTTTATTGGGGTGCCCCAGGAGGCCCCATCGCGCCGCAGAAGCCGACGGCGGACGAGTCGCGGCGCGTGATGCGCGATGAAGGGACGTGCAATGGGCACCTAGTCAATCCCTAACCGCGCGCGACTCGTCCGCTGGCTGGGCATTCGTTGCCGCGCGACGGGCTCCTGAGTGTTACCCCTTTATTGGAATAGACCCGAAGCTAATCGGTATACTCACTGCATATTTTCAACTAGAAACAGGGTTATCGTAGCCCCTTTGCTTTAATCTTTGATCTTGATGTAATGGTGCAGTTTCTCGAAAGATGTAGTGTTCCATTGGCGGGCGTTCACAATTCTTCAAAAATCGATCCAGTGTTTTGAACACTCGGCTCCACAGCTACAATTCTCTCCCGAATCTCTCGAATCGCTCGCATTCCAATAAGTAAGTATTTTTACTTTTAATAATCAGCGTACTACTGCTTTAGGTTGCTGTAGTTTATTATTTTTACTAATTTCGATTAATTTTCTTTCGTGAAGTTTTTGGTACGCATACAATCAATATGACCAGATGAAATAAGGCGGGTAGTGTTCCGCTGGACATCCTTGCTCCGCACTTTTCTTATCTAGATGAGGACTTTAGCGTTTACGCAAATACTCACTTATCTGGTGATGCTCTTTGTTCCGTAGCGAATATCGGGCAGTAGTTCAGTGTTCCTGTTGGGGTCCCTTTCCCAATCCTCAGGCAGGGGGGTTAGTCGTTTTCGTTGAGATCCCTAATTGTTAATGTTCATCCAAGGGCTACAGACGGTGCGATGCCAATCGATAATCGACTACCAGTCCGTTTTTTTTTCACCAGAATTTCTTTCTCAGACGCCCTCCGTTGTTCATTTTCTGGCTTACCGAGCGGCTTGCTCCTTTATTTCTCTCATTCTTCTGCTGTTGTTTTTTTTCTATCGTTAATTGATAGGTTCTTTATACAGGATCACTGGCCATGAAGGTTCCTGAAGAAACACTCAAAGAAATATTTGCGTGGGTTTCTTCTTCGTTTAGTTGTCATTTTTTTAAACTGAATGTGTTTTCCAGTCGTCGATTTCAGTGCCATCGATGAGCGTCAGAATGAGTTTGTGGCTAATCTCAAGGAGGCCGTTGGCATTCCGTCCGTCTCTAGCGAGCCTGCTCGTCGTCCCGACTGCGTGAACATGGTTATGTGGGCGAAAAAGGTAAGGGAAAGTTGAGTTCGAAGCAGTTTTGGGCGCTAGTGGGAGTGTACTTGGGGGGGGGGGGAGGGGAGGAGGGCATCCACAGTGCAAAGCATTCAAGGGTTTTGGAAAATAGAACCATCACCTCCATTTCAATACATGATTAGTCTTTTTTGCAAATGTAGAACAGTAAACACACCCAGAACTTCCTTGCCGTGCAAAAAATTGGAACATTGTTGTTGGAATGAACCGCTGCGCCGCGTTGCCCCCCCCTAGTACGACAGCACCAGTTTTGTGCACTGATCGCAATTTGCGTTCGATACTTAGCCCTGATTAGAGCGAGGTGTTATTTGATATTCCACCTCCTTCTATCTAGAGCTTCAGAACATTCGAAACCTTGACCGACTGCATCTATGGGTTCATAGCTTGCAGGTTTTTTTTGGAAGGGGTTGCGAAAGCTTGCGTCGAAGTCTGAACTACTTCGCCTTTCCATGCATCTACTTTTCCCAGTGGTGGATTTTTTTAGATTTTATAAATGGAATCGTGCGAACTAAGGCAGGAAATGTGAATCAGGACCTCACCACCCCAGCTCTATGAGATTGCCATATTTTTATATTGTTTGCCTAGCCTGTTTCAGTTTGTTCATGAGCTTTCATGCTTGACACAGCAAGATTATTTATGTGCCATCCATCGTTGTACTGCAGTAGCTCTACTGTTTTGCAGAAGCTGGAAGAAATCAAAGTTTCGGTGCAAGTTGTCGAAGCTGGAAAGCAAAAACTTCATGATGGCACTGTGATCGACCTACCACCGATAATTTTTGGAGTGTTAGGTGCGAGCTTTTTTGATCTAATTGATTTTTTTGTCGAATTTGACCCGTGTTAGCGCTCTTTTTGATACTGTCTGAGCAACTGTAATTCTATGCCATATCGATATAGCTGCCGAATATGCTCACGGAATTTCACGTTGTCTCCAACTAGCTTAAAAAAATCGAAAATAGCAACTTCCGAACTTCCGTGCTTCAAACGATTGCTAATTTTCTAACGAGCGGTACCATTGTATTTCATCTCTAGCATTCTTGTGCCTACTTTTCTTTGCATTGTGCTGATAATTTTGAATCTGAGAGCATAAGTTATCCTCGTTTTCATTCGAAAATATCTATCACTAATGGCATTCTTCCTTAGTAAATTAAAATTCAGGTACCGATCCAAAAAAGAAGACTCTTCTTGTGTATGGTCATCTTGATGTCCAACCTGCTGCCAAGGAAGTCTGTTTTATTTTATATTATTTTCTAGGATTTTACTTTTTCCAAGCGATCCCCATTTGATCCTCATGTGAATGCTCCTGCCGCTCTTCGAATTTTCTTATCTCATCATCACTAATTCAAATTTTTCTATAGAATATTAAAGTAAATATTTCCTGTTTTCATGACGGCTGGAACACTAACCCATTCGAGTTGACGGAAGTCGGCGGAAAGCTGTTTGGACGAGGATCTACTGATGATAAAGTAAGCTTATGAAGCACCTATGTTTATTACCTTTTTTGAGAGTTTGGTGATAGTCACCATTTTGCGTTTTCAGGGCCCTGTTATTGCGTGGATTCATGCCATTAGCGTCCTTCAGAAAAAGGGTGTCGATATTCCAGTCAATTTAAAGGTTTGCAATTTTGTATAGCTCCCTGAGCAATGTATTAATCTCTCCTACTGAGAAAGGGTTATCACACTGTGCTTATTTCTGTTCCAGTTTGTTTTTGAATGCATGGAAGAGTCTGGCTCTGAGGGACTTGAGCAGGCCCTCCGCAACCACAAGGACGACTTCCTCAAAAACGTTGATATGACTTGCATCTCTGACAACTATTGGCTCGGAAAAAACAAACCTTGCCTCACTTATGGTCTGAGGTGTGTCTTTTCTGGATATTGTTGGTACGACACCATGATTTGACTTATGCAGAGTTACGCTCGATCTTTGACATTACGTATGGATTTTTCACTTTTTCACAGTACGTTCCAATTATGGGAAATGGAAATGGCAAACTCATTTAGGGGTGTTTGCTATTACTTCATTGAAGTAAAATGCGCTAAACAAGATCTACATTCTGGAACCTACGGAGGGAGTATGTAGGTTTTTTACAGCTGAATTTCATTTTATATGATGTTACTTCCAATTTTCTTCAAATGGAGCTATTGCCGAGTGTTGCTTTCTAATTGCTTTTCTAGTCCGGAAGCGATGAATGATTTGGTTTGGATAATGTCGCAGTTGACTGATTTGGACGGTAAGATCAAAATCCCAGGCATTTACGATCTCGTAGCGCCTTTAACTGATGAGGAGAAGAAGTGTTATGAGTCGATTGACTTTTGTATGGATACCTTCCAGTGAGTTAATATGTGGTGATCCCGCTTTACTGTGCATTTTAGTTTAGGGTTTGTTTTGGATTTTTAAATGTTTTGGATTAAGCGTATGTGTAGGTGATTCTGCAGGAGCGACGTCGCTGCTTGTGGCCTGCTCAAGAATACCAAGCATGAGATCTTGATGAACCGTTGGCGCCATCCTTCATTGTCGCTTCATGGTATTGAAGGGGCTTTCAGCAATCCAGGAGCGAAAACCGTGATCCCAAGCAAGGTAATTATTGGAAGGAGAAGTCCAGATTTGTCTCCTTGGTAGCGGTTTTGGATTACAGATTTCTCCACTTCATCATGTACAGTCGATGGAGTTGCTTTTTGGTATGATTTAGATAGCAGCACCATACCATGAATTGGTGGTAGTTGCTCACCGTTATCGTAACGGTAACAACTTTGCGGGGGGGGGGGAGGGGGAACGTGTTCAAGTTGGATTTTTATCTGCCTGATCCCATCACATACCATTGACCAGATTTCGGCTTAGAGAGGGATTCCAATTGGGGCTGTTAGTACAGGTTACCAAAGTAATAGTGCGTTTTTTTCTGCTCTGCTCTTCAGCTGTCTACAGATCCTTTTCCAAAATGATATTCCTTTATTTTTTATGTAAATTTTGTTTAGGTTGTGGGAAAGTTTTCGATTCGCATCGTGCCTAACATGACACCTGATGCCGTCGATAAGTTGGTTGTCACTTACCTGAATGATCTCTGGTCGAAGCGCCATTCTCCGAACCATTTCAAGTATGCACACTCTTACACACCACACCATTTAGTTTATGAACTAGTTCACAAAGTTCGCAAAAGTTCAGTGCTTTCCCGCACCATAGTGGAATGCCTTGGGTAACGGACTGGAAGCATGAAAACTTTGCTGCTGGCTCACGTGCAATCAAGAGGGGTGAGTTTTTTCTCTAGAAGTATTATTTTTATAGCGATTGCTTTTGTATTTTTGTAATTATTCATCTACATATGGCAACGCGACCCACTGTTTCATCTGCCGTGTGGAATGTCAAACCCGCGTGCGCCTGTATGATCTTCCCATGAACTATCCAACCGTAGTGGTGTAGATGAGGTCGTGTCGTGGGTTATAAAATAAGCTGCTCCCGTTCATCCAGTGTATCACACACTCCTTTGTCACTTTCAATTGGGGCAGTTATGCTGCTGAGGGGCAGATGTGTTACATAGAGTATTAAAGACGGAGTTCACGGTAAAAAGGCAGCCAATTAAGTCAAGGTAGAAGTGGTCACTGTTGTGAGGATGAATAAAATACCATGAGAAAATCAGAACCAGAGAAATAGGACCCTTATTCGCCCGTTAACTTCCGCATTGATGTGACCGCTGCTGCCCTCTCAACGCTAGCGCTCTCTCTCTCCTGAGTGTCTAAAGTCAAACGGCGAGTCGTTACCTATCGGCGGGCGTGCAAAGGCGTGAGCGGCGCGGGTACAGCTTTCTCAGGCCACTGAGGGCAATTACCCTTCGCTCCGAGACTTGTATCGTCCCGCACCCTTAGGGGCCTGCTTTTGACTAGGTATATTTCCCCTTCTTCGACCTTCAACCTCATCGTGGAATCTACCCGAAGTGGCAACAACTTGCTCGGTTGCAATTTTCCCTATCTCTCAATGTCGCTTAGTCACGTGGTGCCTCAATTAATAGCATATTTATCCGCATTAGCTGAAATGCGTTCTCTCTATTGTTTTCTCTCTTCACATGCGGGCGAGCCCCACAGCGAGCCGTTTTTCTCAAATCTTTTTATAACCTGGTATCTCAAGTTTGTCTTTTTTGATTTTTCCTCTTCAGTGTTTGGTGTGGAACCGGATTATACCCGCGAAGGAGGAAGCATTCCTATCACTCTCGTCTTCCAGGTATGTTGGCAGGGGTATTTTTTTCGGAAACGAAACCTGTAAAACTCAATAACTTGGCGGAGAAGTGCTCCCATTTAGTTTTTTCCAAACGTGCAATATCTATTTTTTGGAGTTTCAGCGTCTCACTAATCTCACCCCCCCCCCACAGCCACAATTAATGCAAAAAATGCAATTTTGCAGGAATTCCCTTTTCTTTGCGCTCTAATGTTGCTCCCGTACTTTCTTGAAGTAGGGTTTGTTATACGGCGTCACTTTCTCCCATCGAGAGCATGTCTGCTATCCTTGGTATCAGTATTATCCTGCTTTATTTCATCTATCTACTTCCAACTTGAGGCCTTTTTATGGGCCTTGGTTCTCGGATCACGTTGTTTTCTTTTTTTAAAGCCACCAATCGCGATAAGTGTGATGGTCGCGAAGGAGAAAGCTGGCCAGTGGGGAGGATTGAGGTGTGTCCAAGTACTGGCGCTCTGCGGTGGAAGGTGCCCTATTAGCGGCGCAATAAGAGGCCGAAGGCAGTCCAACAACGCGCAACTCAGACACGTCCACCGTTAAAGCTTGGAAGCGATGATCATGGCTTCGTGCCTGATATGAAACCATTATCTCTATTATTTGGTTTTCCTTTCGAAGCGAGTTGTTGTACGGGTCATAGGTGCGCGACTAAGTTTCTATCTAGCGGTAAGCTCGTTCACTTCTAAAATTAACTAGCGTGAACGCTTTTTCTTGTATTTTTTCCCATTTCTCCATCCCGCAGCTGCCTTAGTCCTTTTGAAATATCAGCAGGAAGAACACCTGTTCTCCAACGTTCCGTCCACTCATAGACTTCCGTACCTCAACTGGTACCATTGGTTCAACCGCCTTCCAACTTCAGTCGTTGTTCCCGCCATTGCTCATACTCTGTGCGGAGCGCCATGGAACGAGCCGCTTACTCCACCCGTGAACTTTTCGTGCAGCGAAACTTCTCGTTTGAAAGCCTATCAAGAGTTCTCATCCGATCCTCTGTTGGCTGGCGTTCTCAGAATGATCATGTCGCTGGTCTTTCCAGCCTTCATGGCTTTATGTCTAGGTTTTGCGTCTTCCGTAAGCGCTTGTATATGCGCTCCCTTTCTTGCTTTTGGATTTAATAAATTGCCTCATTTCAATAGCACGATATCTTGTACCCATAGGTCCATTTCGCTTACCTTTGCACATTAGGGATGACTTCAGCCGAATTGTTCTACGTTTCCTTGACTGCATTGTTGCGATTCTGCCAACCAGTTGCTAGTATCTTCGGATTGAGATTTTCTCTGTTCACATGGCGCAGCTTCCTACTATGCATTCTTCGCTTGGTTCTTGTCTTCGTCATCTTATTGTTGGGAAGGTCGGCGCTGTGCCTGTCAAGTAAGACCCGTGGCACATCTTTCTCGACAGTACCTTGCTTATTGTATTCAAACTTCTGTGAGACGATTCTTACGCGGCTTCTTCTTATTCCCTTCTCCCTTCACAGTCGAAGAGCGTGAAGCTTGTGGTCTTTCAGTGTAGATTTGAGCCTGCATTCCTAATCACTCGGCCATCTTTATCCCAATGATTTACAAACCATGCAAAATTATACTTATTGCTGCCTATCTAAGATCAATGAGCAAGCTCTAGTAATGTTTTGAAGTTTGATTTAAGTTTTTGAATGAACTTATTTTCGAAGGCGTTTGAACAGTTGCTTTGATGGATATATCAAGAACTGGTCCAACTGGTTTTACTCCGTACGGAACTCGAAAGCAGCTGCTTTTGACCTTGTGTGCATCTCATTATTCAGGAGCTCACGGGTAACAATGTGATGCTGCTACCGATTGGAGCATGTGACGATATGGCGCATTCTCAGAACGAGAAGTTGGATCGTGTCAATTACATCCAGGTTAGTGTGGAAGTAGAATCGCTTTTTCTGCTTCACCATCGTCAGATGATTAATAAATGCTGTAACTCGTTAGGGTACGAAGATGATGGCTGCCTACCTTCTCGAGCTAGCGGCGTGATTCGCTCCTTTACAAATTCACTTCTGAGGTTCATTGCTTTGATAAATTTTTGTTGTCATGCGATTTTGTTTGTTGTGATTTTTTACACCTCACCACGACTTCTGTTGTGTGATAGTAGCAGTTGAGTTATTCTGACGGTTTCCTTGAAGAGCTTACGTATATTGTTGAGCAAGACCTTCGCTTCCAAATCAAAAGGAAAATGGACATCATAAGCTCGCCGCTTCCAAGTCTTTGTCTTGAGATGTTCTATGGCAGTTTTGGGTCCCCTAATTTCCACTCGGTCAGAAAATTGACGCGCTTTCAGTGGCCCGGTTCAAATGTGCGAATTTTGTGGCATAGGGAAGTGTGACATGCCTTCCGACCAATCCAGGTCACTTTTTCACTTTTGCTTTTGCATACCTATCCTTTTAACTTCTCAATCGATGTCCATTCGCTGATTCTTTTCCCGGAAACCCTACCATCTCCAAAGAAGCATGCTAGCTCCCACTCCTGTGGCCTTTGTTCCACTCCCACACGGGGGCATAGGGTTTAATGTTTCCAACCGCTTTATTAGATTGCTAATCTAGTTTTAGGCTGATCGCAGCTCGTTTTGGATATATCACATGTGGGCATCCTTCAGAATTGAAACTACTTGTGATTGTCTATATTGTCTGTAAACTCCAAACTCTGTTCTTTTCAAAATTAAGATGAATCCGGTTAAATCTTGTTACAATCTCCATTTCCACACTAACACGCCAGGGACAATGGTAGGAAATGCAGGATGACCATCGTCCTTTCCTTCAGCACTATTTTTTTGGAGTTTGAAATAACGAAGATACTATAGTCAGAACAGTTTGAATAAGAGTCAATGCATCCCTGGGTTTTGAAAGAACCTGTGTGTTCCCTTTTTTATGTACAAAGTTGTAACACGAGTAGAGTATAGATCAGCTAAGATATGATAAACTCTTATTCGTTTTCGTGTACGATTGTGGGTATTTACAAACTTACAGATGTGATCGTAATTCGTGCCGATAGTCCGGGAGAGGGTTTGGGTCACCAAGAAAACGTTTGAAGAATGCCACGGTGTTAGCCCAGACACGAGGTTGGCTGGCTCCATGTTGAGAAGGTTCACCGCCATATGCTTGCATACATCCTGAAAATCTGTGCAGTGGAAAGTGTTTTGGAGTTTTGAAAACCTAATGGGTATACTAATAAATATGGGAGTGACAAAGAGGAACCCATACTTTAACGTACAAGCGTCCAGGTGATCACCGACAATTCCCCCCCCCCTCCTTGTGGAACCCATCTTATTCTGGTAAGAATATTCCAAAGCTCCGTACCCAACAGTACGCGTATAAAGGCTCCGTTCTCTCCCATCTCCCCCTCCGCACCGATCAATCCCTCACTCGGTATGCGCCATGCATTGGGGTCTCTGTCGCGAACGAATCGGGTAGGGATACGTGGGTTACAGCGAGGTTTGGTCTTATAGATGGAAAGCCGTCATCTTTGATTTAGAAAAAAAAACACCCTGAACCCATGTGGAAAAGTTTCCTATCGTAACATGCATTTATGTGGCACTGGTAATTTTCACTGACCAGCAAATTTTGAATAGACGACTGGAAGGCTGGGGAAGTACGGTGGCTCCATTAAGTGTCCACCCGGTGCAAAGTCGACTTCAACATAGTGTCCGGAGTCTTTGAGAAGTTTTTGGTTCTGGCGACTGCAGAACACCGTCGGTGTTGATAAGTCGTCTAACGAACCCTAAGGCAGTCATTTGTATTAATTCCAAAAATAGCCCAGGTTAAATTTTTTAGAGATAAAATAATTCGTCTAACGAACCCTAAGGCAGTCATTTGTATTGATTCCAAAAATAGCTCAGGTTAAATTTTTTAGAGATAAAGTAGTGAAGATTCTAAGTTTCCAATAATAAGTTCCGTTATTTATGTAATTTACTAAAATAAACTGCTTACAACAAATCGGAATGCCGTCCTTTTTGGCGCCGTTTCTATTCGTATATTGGCCTCTGGGGTGACATCGATGTACTGTACAGCTTTGTCATAACACATGCAACCGTTAAGATAATAAAGCATGTTTATAGGAGTACTGAAATTGAAGGATAGACTCAAAAATTGAAGGAACACTTCAGTGGAATAGTTTTCTGATGGCTGCAAGCTCTATGAAAACCTTACTCTGCGAACTCTACAAAGACTGCCCGCAAGAAGAGAGCAAACCCGCTGGTGAGCCGATCCTACGACCTATTGGCTTTGCGAGTTCAAACCTTACTGCGGTCCTTTTTTGCTTCAAAAGTGAGTTCTGGGAGTGACTTAGCGGATAATGAGTGCATATATGGCTCAGTGTCTCAAGACGCTTATAGAGATGTACATCTCACCGATGGCTGAGTTGTCTTACACTAGTGGACTGAGTTGACCTTTCCTGGTGCCTGTGACTAAAGTGAGCTTCGGTGTCAAAATGGTCAGTGATACCTACATAAACGGTTATGAACAGCTGTTCTTCATGATGCGATGTGTTTCACAGTCTCACAAGCTGCGAGACCTCTACCAGCCCCTGCTCATAGTTTATTTACCTTAGCTACCTTCTTTAGCTCTTAGCTCACCTCACAAAAGGCAGAAATTTTCCGTGTTCTTTGATTTTGGCCATTTCTGTGAGGCAATGACCTCCATTTATTGAGCACACTGCTATAATCTAAAAGATAACAGTAAACGCTGTGAAATATTCATTAAAATGTATTGGTACTATCTTCTTAATCGGAGCGAGTTTGCGGTCGCTGCTGAACCTCGCGTGCTTCTAGAGCCTCTGATTGGTCATTGAGAGTATCCCACCAATAGCAGCTCTTTTCGCCATGATCAAGAGTGGTCCCATGCAGGCCTATTTTGTGCTCCCTACTATATGTTTCACACGATTTTCTTCCCAAATGTCCTTTTCTCCCGAAATCCACGATTATTCGAGGAACACCTTGAGCCCCCTTTCAAAATCGTAGACGTCTCGTTTACCCTACGCCTAGGCAAGCGTATAGGGGAAACGTGAAATGTGAATGTGAGGTCATAAAAATGGTCACATGAAGACGATTTCTCACCTCGGGATACCTCACAGCAAGCATATTGACTAGAAGCCCTCCAAATGAAACACCTTGTATTCCAATCTCATTCCGCGTAAATGGCTGAGAAATAAACCAGTCGATCGCCTTCTGAAATAATAACAAAATTTCCGAGTGAGTATATGACGCGCTGCACTTTGCTTATCACATCGTTTATGCATGATACGAGGATACCACGTTTTGATGCAATTTTTCGTAAGACTGCACTTTTACAGAAAACTTTTTATTTTGGTGCAGAATTTTTTATTCTGAAGGGTGCTTGTGGTGAACGTATGCCGGGCATGTAGCAAGAAGTCACCACGCGGCGATGCGGACATTTGAAGCGTGCAGAGTGTGTGGTTAATAATTTAAGCTTACGCGTCGTCCGTAGTGATCTCGTCATGCATACCCAGGTACATACTTGGTGTAATTTGGAGTTGTGGGTCTCAGTCACAACCAACCGTCTAGAAAAGGAAGAAATTCGCATTGTCAAATCTTCTGGGTGGTGCATTAGAGAAAGCACAATGCTTCGAATTTAGTACTTCGTAATATTGGCATTTCATTGGACCTTTCATGATGGTGGTCTCGAAAAATTATCGAATTTTCGGTTCTATGCAGAAAAAACTTTAAACCTTCCTCTAGAAAACTTGTGAAAGTCTCACGATGCCATACCCCAACATTGCCAGCTACACAACACAACAGCGATACCGTTAAGTCAACGCCTAGGCTGGTGTCAGAGTCCGCAATCTATAGCGCGATTCGCGATGGATCGCGGACATGTTCAGTGTTTTAAACATTCGAATGGGGCACTTGCGAAACAAAAATCGAACAAAAAGGAATATGAAACAAGTAGAATGATGAACATTTGTCATTCAAACATCGATATCAAGCAGAAATGGCGGCGGGATCGGAGAACATGTGAACAGGGATCGCAATATCGATCGGGGCGCTGCTGATTTCTGTCATCCGCCGCACGAATCGCGGACTCTGACACCAGCCTAAAGCGAAGCCTAAGCAGTTAGTATAAAAGCCGCAGTTCGGCACTTCCGGAGGTATTGTTCAGTAAATGTAGTTCACTTCTCTCTCCTCAGTTCTGGAATCCTAGTTTGATGATGTCCATACGGTTAAATACTATTTCAATAATAAATTCGCACTGAGCGGCTCGGTCTCTTACGCTTCACAAGTTATTTGTCCAGAATCATTAATTTATTTGGCTGTATAAAAATACTGTACAATGAGGTGTTCTCTTACTCTACACATCCGGTAAATGGGGCCTTTTGCGCCGCAGGAAGTCTACTCGTCGGAATTCGTCATGGTGCATCGGCCGGAAATCGCATCCTGGCCGCCCGTGTGGCAGACCAGCAATCTGTCACTAAACCACCAATGCTCCCGCTTTAGTGCCGTACCTGGACGATCTACTCGGCTGCTGCCTGGAATTTCGCGAGGAAGAGCGGCTTTCAAAATTTGGAATGGGAAGGGAGCTCTGTCATAGTTTACAGCTCTCAAGTTTACTCAAAGGCACGTCCCACTATGAAATCTGCGAGAGTTCGCCCGAGAAGAAGGTAGGAAGTGAAGTGACTCACTATTGGCGATAAAAAACAAACCTTTGGAATTTCCTAAAAGGGGGGGGGGCATATCTTTTTCCTGGCGGTCGACGAACCAAGTCACCAAAGCAATGTGAGACACTGTGCGCTGAAGCATGGAACACACTAACTTGGAGACGAGTGAGCATAAAATGCAGCGGGGTGCAGAGAGCACCACGTCACCAATGGAGGCCGGAGTTACGGGAAAGGCACCTTTTTCGGGACAACAAAGGTTTTAGGATCTTTGCTACGCACTTTCTAGCTGCAAAAGTGGCACATATGCTATTCCAGTGAACAGCTCTCCTGGCCATCAAAGGGACCGATCCACCGTGGTTCGTACCTTTGAAAACCATGGTGGATCGGCCCCTCTAAAAAATTTGAAAGTCATCAAAGATAAAGGATATTGCAGGTCTTCTTCTGATAATATTCCATGCCCCTTCCAACAAATAAAATTAAAATACTGGTTCCAAATTTACCTTGAAATAGTCCATGTCGAGCTCGTTTAAATCGTCAATCAAACTTTTGTACTGGAAGAAAGCTAACGAGAAAACACAAAATCCTTCTGAAGCAAGTGTTGCTCCTTTGTGCTCGTTGATTCCACCACCAGTACCAGACATGTCGAGAATTGTGGGAAATGGGCCGTCACCTGAAGGATCACATTCCAGGAAACTAGAAACAATCTACATGGTGCTGTTACTCTCTTTGACATGTTTAACCCATAACGGACGGCGTGCGCCACATGGTGGCGCACGATTATTTCTTCTGTTTTTGGAATGTTTGTAGCAATCTTAATATACCCGTATATACTCTCAGCAATGTGGAATAACATATCTTCCCAGGACCTGGACGACTGGATTTTTGACAAACCTACAATAAATTTTACATACATTTTGTCTCAATTTACATAAGTTTACTATTTGGTGGGTGGCTTACCCATGGTTCACACGTCCCGACACCCCTTCCCCTAAATATAGCCACATCCTTGCTCGGGATTGTTGTTTCGCATTTTTCGATAATGTCACCTACAGCTTCCATTCATTCTTTGCATCCTAGTTTTAGACCGGAAAGGCGGGTTACGAACTTGTCTTCAACGGAAATCTCTTCTTTTGGAAGATGAGACAAGGACTCCTACTTTAGCCCCGTCCTAACCCTGCTATTCGCATAAGCCTATATGAACCCTACCCTGGGTGGCGGCGTGCGCCACCATGTGGCGCACGCAACAAATACACTGGCCGTCGGTTATGGGTTAATATACTCAAATTTCACCTGGCGGTAGGAAAAGAGTGCCACAAATGCCGTCTTCTTCGATTTCCTTTCGAACCACAGCTGGATGTAGCCAGCGCTTTATTAGAGGCATTGACTGTAGAAGCTTGCAGGCATCATCGCGTAACCTAAGCAACAACTGAAGAATATCCCAATGATTCGTGAACCTGATGGCGCTACTAACTGCAGGTCAAAGTGAAACGGATCCGGTGGCGTGCACTTGCAATAGTTTCCGAAACGGTACTCATCACTGGGCATAAGACCCTCGAATAGTCCCATAGGTCGCACACCTGAAGAGAGAACCCTTTTTCTGAAAAAAATCAACTGACTTTATTTCATTTGCCTCTACCTGCGTATGTTCCTCTCAAAGGTGCAGTTTTCGCTAGATCTATAACGCCTTGACTGTCAGCTTTGTAGACGCCGCGTCCAAACAGCATACCCATATGGTGATTCAGTCTAAAAAAGAAGCCCAAATGGTAGTAGCTCAAACGCTCAAAAATATATTTTGCATATATACTGCACTTCCAAAAATGATTTTTACGAAAAGGAAAGCTATTCGTGAGGTTACATATGAAGTCGAATTTTACTAAGAAGTAATGTGGCCGGCAAGTCCGAAAAGGATAGAGAGAGAGGACAAGAGAGAGAATGAGAGACGCTTCGAAGAGCAGAAGGCTCTCACAGAACGTCGAACTGTGTTCAAGCACTCGCGCGGAAGATATTCAGATCAGACTGCTCCGTAAAGGTTTCACCTAAAGGTCAAACCATACTTTGTAATCTTGTGATTCTGCGAGTTTGCGATCTTGCATTTCCTTGGTAAAGTTGGTATGTATTGATCACATCTAGGATCACAGAATTGTTTGATCGATACGTATCTACTCCACATCATACTTAACAGAAAGCAGTTTTCAGATCTTTTTTGAGAATTTTATTTCTCAATGGAACAGCATACACTGCAAGTAGTAATCATACATGGCACACGTGGAGGGAATAAAACAATCTTCCTTGCACGGTACCCTTCAATCGAACAAAACATCCAAGAGACATGTCCCATTTCTCGAGTTGAATCCATGCATAGGAGTGCATAACAGAAAATCCTGATTCAACAGAAAGGTTGAGAAGGAGGAGGAAGCTATTGGCGCGAGCAGGGAAGGACGGCCGGATTAGTATGGTAATAAAAATAGTGGACTGGGAGAAGAACTAAAATTTTCAAAATTTGTAACCCTTGGCTCATCCTACTTGGCGGCAGAAGAAAACCTTTCTAAAATGGCAAGTAATCAGTAAGATGAAGGTAAACATCCCCTCTAGCAATGAGAGGAATTTTAACTTCGGACTCTAATCACTTCAGTGGAGGAGGAAGAACTTCGACCTGTTGATGTTTTACAAAATCCTTTACGGTCATACTGGTCTTAATACCGGGGCGTTTTGTACTGTTAGACCTCTATCACCAGATTTGGCTCGGAAAAGCTCCTCAGGTCCACAGCGAAACTCCAATGTTGCTTTCACTTTTTCCTTATGGGCTCAAATTCGCTGTACTCGACAATAAGCAAAAAGACCGGTATACCTGTCAGTATTCACTCCTTACGTAAAATCATTGATAAGTACCTTGACCCTTGATGGCCTTTCCCTTGACTTTTCTACCTCAGCGTGTATGTGTTCATTCTCTCTAATCTATGCTCGCATGTTGTTGGTTATAACCGTTTTCTTTCTTCAAAATTTACAGTTATGTTTATGACCTTTTTACCTTGGCCTCGTCTCAGCTTATGCAGGTTTTTTTTTATGTTTGTTCGTTTGTGGGCAAAGGTAAAGCTTTTGCATGAGTCTTTCCTCCTCAATCAATATGTATGGAAGAGATGAATAGGAATAAAAGGAAGAGTGGAAGAAAGTGTACATTTACTTGACCAAGAAGCTGAATGGTGAACAGGATTCGAAGAAGCAAATTGCAACAACCCTCCACAGTTTCGGCGGATAAAGGATGACGTAGTGGAATAAATCTTATTATGGATGCGCACTGGCCGATGTCAGACTTTGCGATTGGAGCGATTTCGCACCTTGGAGCGATTTCGCACCAATTGCAGGAGCGACGAATCGCTCAAGCGATCCGTCGCTCCTGCTGCAAAATTGCTCCAATCGCAAAGTCTGACATCAGCCACTGAGTGTGATTACATTTAGAACCGTTAGAGCACTTTAACCCGTGTCACCAACATTACTTCAGGATCGGGTCCTATGGAGGCCAAAAACAAAAAAAAACATTCGTATAAGTGCTTTTTCAAAAGGATACAAAGATGGGTGGTTGATCTGGGCAACGTTCGGTTTCATGAAGTACATCAATGGATGGCACTAATGATCACTGCCAAATCCTCAACAACAGGGAAGACAGGGATTAACAGAGGAAGAAAACTTCAATAAAAGAGTGGTAAATAACTCACTTTAACACCATTCGTAGGTCCCGTTAGGTGTTAGAGATCTCGCCGTTATGCATATTGGCTCGGTCATCATGCTGTCGGGTTTATCGACGTGAAGCATTGTTAAGGTCAGAATCTGGGCAGCTGGCAAACAGTGGGTGCGTTCGTGTTCTGGAAGTGCTTCGTCGACTCCTTATCAATAGTTCCACAAGAGCGACTTCAACGCTGCCTTTTCACCTGCGATAAAGGTACAAGAGAATGAAGTACATAGAAAATCCGAAGGTACTTCGTTCTCGACAGCAGCAATCGATAAGAGGAACTGATCAGAATGCACGAATTGTGATTGGAACATACCCAGATAAGGTGTAGCACGCTACGGCATACATCATATTGAGATCTCAACACCTGATCAAGGCTTTCACATAAACGTAACAGGTGTGGCATTTTGTTTCTATCAGTCGGACATGTCGTAATTGCGGACTATAGTCCGCAACCTCCAAAAAAGTCAATATCACATGTGCTGTTTATTGCGTACTGCTGAATCTGCACCTATGTAATGTACGGCAGCAGAAAAAAAAGTATCTGCATATAAGTGCGAGAAGTTTCCTGTTGTATGGAAATCAAATACAGAGGAACCAGTACGACAAAGAAATTAGCTGCCGGCACTGGCGTTCCCACAGTATGGGTCTCCACGACTCCCTTCAGTTCCTCTTAAAAGTTCGACCGTACAACTTGATTCACATTTGACCTTCAAGACAAATGCGAAAGAGAATTGATGCGATCATGAAATTGATTGATATATGATAAGTCCTATTGTATAAAAGGACTTTTTAGTGTTCTGAGTCTTCGTTTTGCTTGAAAGTTGAGCTAGACAAATTTAGCAGGCAACACTCAATCGCTGGAACATAACAACTCCACTTTGGAGAACATTCTTTTCCGATTTCAATTTGCAACTATGTTCGAATTCCATCCCAGGCGCTTTTCAGAATCGGAATGGACCGCAGGTTTTTCGCAGTACCAGCAGGCAAGATCGTGTCAGATTTAAGGCTGTGAGGACTATTCTGCGGATCAAACGTGAGAATGGCGAACAAAACAGAGAAAGTGGTGAACTTCAATATGATACAATGATACTACCCTTTTCTAATAGTTTATGGCCAGTTATATAAGTTACGTTCATTCATTGTTTTTCCTCCCTTCCTTAATGAAGAGTACGGAGGTCGGATAACCAACTTGGAACGACGAGCGCCAGGACAAGTCAATATGTCCCACATTTTGCAGGCCATGCACGGACGCGGCGGATCCGTATGTGTCCTGCACTGCCAGTCCACGCTCCTTTTTCAGCGCACTCGCGTATTTTTTTCTATAGTTTATTGTGTTTTACTTCGCATGAAGAAACCGCTAGCTTGCCACAAACATTTAGAGCTCGCGAAAGGTCACGTATGGTTTTAATTTAGAGGAGATTTTTCCCAACTCCACGACTTGTTGGTTGTTTTGTATTTTGGTTGATCTCCAACATGTTTAAGTCTGATTAAATCTTTCGTTTCTCTTATTCCTTCTCGATAACTGTCAAGGTTAAAAGACTTAGTAAAAGTAAATAAAGTGTCCCAGATAATCTTATCATATTGGTTTTGTATACCATGATAACAGGTGAAATAGCTTTTTCAAAAGTCAAGTTGTAGCTGATTCTGGACAATTTTTGCATGTTCACTCTTATTTTCAAGTCTTTGTACGGAACATTGCATTCTATATCAGCCTTGCATAAGCTTTTTACTTCTATCTTGTAAGTTCCAGTGTTTCGATTCTTGCCATTCCCACATGTTTTGTGTATTTAGCACTTCAAAAATCCGCTTGAAATTACCTGATCGTCCGCGCTCTTGCCAAAGCCTGCGTCCCACGCGGCAAAAAAAGCGCAAAACGATGTCTATCTCCGCGGTTGTCGTCAAACGGTGTTAAAGTATGGCTCCGTCTAAGGCACGCAACGAACGAAGTCGAACTACTCCCTGATTCATCCTGCTTAAATTCTCGAATTCGATATGTCTTTTTTTAATCAGATCTAACTATTTTCTTTTCTTTTCCTCAACGTTACGTTCCGTGAGGCCATGATTGTAGCCTTAAAATCCCGACGTCAAGTCAATAGACACGCTAAATAACGTCGCGTCTTGCAATTGTTTACATGTCGCTGCTACGCAGAAGAAGGCTACACATGTGAAAATGATATTTTTAATTTTTTGTGTACAAATAAAAGAGTTTAAGACTTGACTGCAGCCACTGTCTTTCTCCTACTGATTAATTCCATCAATACTATTGTATTGATTTTTTAACCCCTTTCAACAAGCGAGAAAGTGGCGGGTGCAGATCAAACACCACAACTAACGACGGCCTCCAAATCAATCTGGTTAGGAGTTGTTCATAGTGATAGCTGATTTCTGGTATATGATAGTTGTAATTAGTGACAATCGATAGTATACAACTGCAGCAGGCTAATCATTTCATTGGTAGAAAACATTAACATTTTGTGAAGGGCGTCGTCACTTGTGGTACATGGTCTGCACCCGACACTTTCTCGCTTTTTGAAGGTGAGGGTACATATTCAATCAACTTCGCGATGTCAAATGGATCTCGAAAGCATGGCATATCTCAATGCGATGCTATGCTAGAAATTTCCTTATTTCAAACAAACGAATTATCTGAAAAACAGTGCCAAGAATCCGAAGAATGAATGTCACTACATAGGTTAAACAGAAAATTGATAAAATACAGAGCCAAAATATCACTTCGATTCTAAAATATATTTTTTGTATTTCGCTTATCAAACTAAGTAGATGATAGGTAGAGAGTATGACAGCGTATTTTTTCATCTACCATACTACTAAGTCCGCTTCACCTGAATGTTCGGCTGACACGAAATCCGCTATCAGTTGAAGATCCACCTGGAGAAGCCGCTTCGAGTCTGGGGCGTGTGGGAGTGAGTCAAGAGCACACATCAACGAAGCCCTGCCCACAGTGAGCGATGGCCAAAGACAGAAAAAATAGGTAATGGTAAGCTAATGGCTAAGTTGTACAAAACACTCCTGAAGAGAGCAGATGCCTGCCAACAATGGGCGAGGATTCCACGAAAAGACCGAAGGTCGAAGGATGGGAAATTCACTAGTGGAGAGACAGGCGGACCCCTAAGGGTGTGGACCATCACACAATTCGCACTGAAGGATACGCCCCGGCGATCTGGCATGGCCTCCCCTTTGGCGCGGTTGACCCAGAACGGCCACCGACACAGCAAAGAGAGCATTGCAGGGCACGATGGGAGTGGCATCAATGCGAGAATCAATGGGTAAGGGTCTCATTTCTCGGATTCCGGGCTGTTTTATATAGTTTCTTCATCATCCCTGCTCCACTAACCACTTCTACCCTCACTTCCAATAAGTTACCTTTCATCGTAAAATCCGCCTTTCAATGGACGGTGTTCTCTACAAATTTTCATAACGCCTCCACTAAGGTCCGGAGACCGGAAAAGTAGACAGACGCTCAAGGAGGAAAGCAGTGGGTTCAAATGCTAGAACGGGTAATGAAGCGCCCTGAGACGAGCATAGTTCCCATGAACTTTGTTATTCGTTTCCAAGGCACTCCTGAGACCTGGAAAAGTGGATCGAGACGAGGCAAAGCAGGGTAAACCAAGAGCTGATGATGAGCGGGACAAGCACCGTAAGTGATGGAGCTAGATTTAAAACCTTATGGTTTGACCACAGGCCTTCTACAAATCGAGAAAAATGGGGTGGTAAAAAAGCAGAGGCCAAATCGGCACGATTGGATACGACACTTTCGGCTTCCGCCAAACAGCCATTGATTGGTAAGGCCGACGTCATAGTCGGCGACGGACCAAGCGATGGAGCGACCGCGATCGCTCCGTCGCCGACTATGACGTCGGTCTAAATGGTGCGCGCGACATCGTACGTTGCCAAACTAGTTGCTTACATTTGGGTTCACAGATGGCTAACGGGCAAATTTTCGGAATTTGTGTTCCAAGTTATTCACAACAATGTGATAAGAGTACGCGTTGTAGAGGTGATAAACCATCCAAACTTGCTCTCAGGGTTGGATCTTAGGGTTTTGCATGAAAAATTCAAAGAAAAGTTCCTCTAGAATCATAAGCAACGACTTCTGAGGCTCCACCAACTGGATTTAAAGGTATAAGATTCATTCCAAAAAGTGAACTGAAATCGAGTCATAACAAAAAATGGAAAAAGTAAGCTGTCACTTTTTCCATTTTTATTCCAACAGGTAGGGTATGTTGTGCATGCCAATATCGTAACGAACAATTCCGACTGAACCAGCCAATTCCCTCTATAACCATTATTCGATTTCACTCGACCGAATACCAGTGTACAACATACATACAGAACAGGTATTGATAACAAAGCTGTCAGATCGAGCACTTTAGAACACAGCGAAATGCATGAAACATTCGCAAACACACATAGAGCAGTAGCTGTCCGAAGCTGGTTGCAAGGTGGAAAATTTGGTGCTATCGTAACAAAGAAAAACAATGATATACATGAAATGTACAACGATATGAATAAATTTACAATCTGCGAATACAGGGAATTCACTGCAGGACACGTACGATGAATACAGTAAACAAAGGCCGCACAGGTATGCACACAAACAACTTTTTGAAAAGCTTGAAGCCACAACGAAAAACCCAAGCTAACAACAGTAATGAACGCTTAAACGCTATACATGAATCTATGGCGGTCATGAGAGAAAACAAAAAAAAGAACCTGTAATCAACTAGCAATGACTGAGAAAAATGATATCTTATCACAGGATAGAGGCAATAGGAGAAAGCACTCTCAGAGGCGTGTTTAGTTTCTATGTGAGTTTCATTTCAATGTTGTCCACTACCACCTGGGACTTCATCATTTTTCCATTTATGTCGCTCGTCCTGATAAACATCAGGTCTCAATTGATTCCGAATACCTGAAATGGGTTCTACCTTTGAAACGACAAAAACATCAAATTAATCCCTCAATCTGTGCTCATGGCTTTAAAAAAAGGAAGGGGGAGGGACCTTCAAAATAGGCCATTTAAAAACCGCTGGTACGGCAGGCTCAACCGTCCCCGTTCGAACATTTTCGGGATTTTGCGACCAACCCTAGCTCTCGCCAGGGGTCCAGATGCGCACCCCCGCTGTGTTTGCTTAATGAAAGAGTCTAGACATCGCATCGTTGCGCCAGGAAAGCGCCTCGTTTGTGTCGGCCTTGGGGCCGGCAATTCCTCGACCCGGGCGCCTGAACGACAGGGACTGGCCGCGCAGAAAAAACTTTAGAGGGAATAACTTTTTTGGACGTATTTTTTTGACTGTTGAGGTAGAGTTGACTGTGGCCTGAGTGCGCTTTCGAAACAATTACAAGGATTGGCCTAACTCTCCGAAAGTACTTCTGTTAGCAGTGGAAAACCCAAAATTCTAAGAAGGCGCACCTGCACTTCTGCGGGCCCATAAAATATTTCGTATCGCGACATTTTGGAAATCCGTAAAAAGTCTTCAGAAGCTTCCCAATACTCCTATAACAAAATAGTATGAAAAAGCCTAGTGATTGTGCCCCTTTCAACAAATTGTCGCCGTTCTAACATTTTTCGCTGAACATTTTTGGAGCTTTCGCGACCATACTCACTCAGTTTCAATTTCTCGTGACGCATTTTTTCATGGGGTAAATAGATCAGGAATTGCTCTCTGCTGACACAGCCAAACCGTTTTTTTTTTTTTCAAGGTTCATTTTTTCGAGACCAATCACACGTGTCGAATATTTTGTTTCCCATAGGTTTTTAACGCGCACAAGGCGAGTTTTTGAGCTTTCAGCAATAATAACTTCCTTCAAAGAACTTGTTGGAGAGGGACGAAGACATTTTTGAAGACTGCGAGATTTCTGCTTCCTTAAGTATTTTACCGTTGTCTGGAAGAATCATCCTCAGAATTAGGTCCCCGAAGACTTTAATTTCAGCCCCGAGAAGTCAAACCTTTCATAGGGATGCATTCAACTGTTATTTATTCCTCAAGGAAAACACCGTAATATGCCTAAAACTGTCTCTCTGTGCATAATTAATCGAATCTAATGCGGTCTGCACAAACAATTCTTGCCCTCGGATACGCCACGCACGCGCCTGTGGCTGGCAGTCCTCGAAATTGCGACCCCCTTCCGACCAAAATGCGACCCCTTCGTTCGAACAGTTCGAACGGACGGTTGACCCTGCTGGTAGGTGACACTGGGACTGAGCGCAGGCGAAGGGTAAATTCCTCAACAGCGCTCAGTCCTAGTTTTCGTGTCTGCTTAGTCCTAGTGCGTGTCTAAACGTGCACAGGTTTGAACGTGTTACGTAGTGGCTTGGAGTCCAGACAGGAGAGCGCATGCTCTACCTAATAATAAGGCTAAGTTTTCCAAGGAAGGGAAGAGAAGAGGGATGATTTTAAGGTGCAATCGCAAGACGCGGGGAAATGAGGTGCAAATGCATTTCAAGCCGCGTAAAACATCTGCTTTTGTCAAAAATATTACTAACTTAGCTGGAGAAGAAGGGGTTCCAAAATGCGTGATCAAGTTTTTTTATCCCGCGGTGCTCCTCCCTACTTCTGGGCTTCGTCCAGAATGCCCCTGCATCCTGAGATAGCGTTCAAAGAGTAGATATTAGAAATCAGAAAGAAAAACCAGCGTGGTAGGAATGAATAAGCTGGTATTGAGTTAGAAAACACATACCTAGACGAAATGGCCCCGTATGCTGCGATAGAGCTCAAAACTTAACTAATAACTTGTTTTTGTTTGTTGACTGCTGTTTTTGGCCGCAGTTCGCCTTGCAAATGTTTCACAAGAATGCTGGATTGTGAACAAAACTTTCGCCCTGGGCGGACTAGAACCCACACCTCTCGCTTTCCAGGCAAGTGCGCTACCAGTTACGTTCTCGTGTAAACTAATAGCAATAATCCGTACATGATTTTATGATATGTGTACGTTTACTCACTTCTACTAATTTTCTTTTTTACATGCTCACGAGGATGAAACGAAAACGAGGAACGAACTGAAAACTCCGCAGGCTTGCAAAAGTCTAAACTTGCACAGTATGGTCAACCAGGTTACTGTGCAACCTGCTTGACCATACTGCGAACCACCTCACATGTGGTTATGTTATGTTGTGATCTACAGAAAAGAAAACAACATGGGAAGAACCCGCGCAAGCGTGAAAAGAAGGAAACGACAATAGTGGAACGCGCAACCACGTCGCAATGTCCCACATGGCGTGCAAAGTGTGCCGCGAACCGCGTCACGCTTACGCGAAAGTGTTGAAAGCTCCTCAAGCATCTTGAGCCCAATCACATGCATATATTCTATCGCAAATCTTTGTTTAGGTACGATGATCGAAATCCACAAAGAGCCCCATTATTCGAACATTCGGAAAAAAATCAAATTTTTACATAACTTATAAAGTTTCGAAATTTCATGGAAAAAACGCACCTCCTAACACTTGATAGCCGATTTGTGTGCCAGCGACAAATGGCCCAATGATAGCTTTCGGTGCCACCTTCAGAACACTGCGGAATGACGACTGTCCAGAAGCACGGTCTTCTTGCGCGGCCAACTCCAAATCATCACGAGCTTGTCGGTATCCCTAAACGAACTCATTGTGTGTATGTTGAAACAGTGCATCAATCCCAGTGTAACAGAGCAAGTTTCATCAACACAGAATAGGAGCACCTTAAAATTGCGCTAGACTAAAAATGTACATTAGTAGGACTGACTAAAGAGTGGACCAAAATATAATCCTGGCACGGATGATGAAAAAAATTCATATGAAGCAATTCATACATAGAAGATTTCAATTTGCTCTTCAAGAATAACAATTTCTGAAACTTGTTTTTCCCGGATTCTATTTTTCTCGCCAATATGTTTTTGATTTACTTAAAGTCAAATGTAAGTGTGAAGAGAAACATACAAAGGAAAACATACATCTGAAGCAATATCATAAGCAAGTTGTAATCCATGACGTAAATCAGTTGGAGCTGCTGCCCTTGCTGCCGCAGCCCGACGGTTTCGTTCATTCAGGTAGGGTGCAGATGGCTGCACTTCGTGTAAGACTGACTCCGCAAGCATCTTCAATATTATAAATACTGAGTGGATGAGGAAAATTTTTGTAAGTTAAGAAGGAATCTACTAACGACTAGAGAACACAGCTGATAATGAGAAAAAAGAAAGGAAAAATTGCTAGAGTAGCGGTTACCTGTATGACTCCAACTACAGTTTGAGCCATTCCGACTACACCAGCTGCCGATGATAATCCGAATGAACCAACGCCTTTCTGGATCCCTTTTACGACATGTCCATCTTCTTTGCGCAGTTCCGCAACAGGAAGCCAAAACAGATCTACTACGCCTTTACCTGTAAGAGCAGCGATCAGTCAAGAATTTAAACTCCTCTTGTAGCCCTTTAACCGATAACGGTGAACACCTCACGATTTCAAGTAATGTTCCCGAAACAAACTTCATTAGAATGAACATACCGATCTGTACAAATGGACTGATGGGACCGCAACTGGCCAGGACGTTCGGCAAATTTGACTTGATGTCTGTCATCCACTCGTCTATAGCAACCTGAATACCAATGACGCATTGTCATCAAAGGTCAAAGTAAGGTCGCATATGTAATAAGCAGAAAAATACAAGACCACCACAAAGAGAACAACGTAATCGACTCACGTTCATACATCGTCCAACACCCAACAATCCATTTCGATTGACAATCTCCTTCAAGATGAACTCAGTGCGATTCAGCTGTCCAATTCCGCTCAAAACAGCTGCAAGGACGGAATTATCTAAAGGCGATTTCGAAATGTGAGCGAGAGCAAAAGAAACCAACCAAAAACAGCTCCGTTTCTTTCAACGTTGATTTTATTCTTTCCATGATAGTCCACGTAAATGGAGACAGATGGCGAGAAGATGAACTCTCTGCAATGTGCAAGATATACGGAGAAACCAAGAAAAGCTTAACGCCACAGAGCAAGTGTGAGTGACCATATGTGCGTAAACAGCAATTAAAGTGAGGATTGCATGTCAGTGCATGGAATGCAGACACACTAGCTGTTCCGTAAACACACACTTCTTGTCAAACTACGGTGGACCTAACTGATTATCCACTTATCCAGTAGCCAATACGCAAAACCATTTAAGCCATAGCAAAAAACAACGAAAAAAATGTTACTTGAAGAACGTGTTGCCGCGAGTGGACTCTGTCGTATCGCAACTGTAGCGACATTCACCCGATGAGGACGCCATTTGAGTAGATGTTTCGTCATCGTCGGTAGACTGAATTGTCAATAATTCACGAAATAAATCCAGTGACACTGTTTTATAGATTCTTTTTTTATTCTGTTTCTCCTCTAGATGAGAGAACTTCGAGAACATTCAAAGTGAATCTAGTACTGAACGAATCTTTTGCATAGAATTTTTCTATGTAAAAATTACAAAAATTACAAGGAGCTGATCCTAGTAGTTCAGTCTGCCCGATGTGGGTGGCATATTCTGCGACTCCACAATAACCTTATTGATGTCTCCTATTCTTCATATCACCCCTACAATATCAAGCGTTTGACCAAACGCCACGCGGGGCGCTAGTTAATCAACACCATTTTCTCAAATTCTTCTGCTGCCCCCCCCCCTCTACAACCGCCCTGACTTACAAATGCCGGATATAACCACTGTCACGTACAAATATTCGCCCAAAACCCTTTGCTAATGCCCTTTTAGCAAACTGGACTGGAAGCAAACAGACATGGCAAACTAGGCGTGACACAGCATGTCTGAACGCCGGAGAGCACTTGGTGATTCTGCGGTTTTGCAATCTTACGTCTTTTCGTGGAGTACATATGTATCGATCACACATGCGATCGCAGAATCCCATGGGCGATACATATCTACTCCACAATGCAAACCCAGCAAAAACTTACCAACCCTAATGTATGCATGGTTAAGAAAACTTCCATAAAAAAGGTAAGGCAAAAACGATTGTAAGAATTACTCTATCGCCATCGTTCAAACATGCATCGATCTCGCCACTGGTATCGATAAGCTCATCACTGACAAGGAAATCATCATGAGCTTTGTCATCATCAGGTAACATCATGCTTGGATGAAATGAATCGTGCATTGAAGCTCCCATCAGCATCTTATCCACAGCGCTAACCGGACCCATGTGATCCATATCCGGAAATCTAAAATCAACAAAATCCAATCGGCGAAATTTAGACAATCAAGAGATCTTTTCCACTCACCTAATCTCGCTACTGCTACTCCAGTCTCCAGCGAGATGAAGATCATCGGCTAATAAACCATCATCTTCTGTTGAAGGAGCTCGTATAAGATCCGGACTGCCCCCTCCATTGAAATCAGGACTTATCGCCTAAAAGTGCACACTTGAAGAAAGGAATGTGCCTAAAATACAACGCTAAATCAGTAACCCACCTGTGAGGAAGGTTCTCCAAGAGGTGTTAAACGTTGTGATGCTCGACTCTTAGTACCGAATAGATTTCCTAGAATACATTGATTTAGCTACCCATTTGGACAACAGACCATTGATAATGAGCATAAGAAAGCGAAGAATACCCCACCTATTGAAACAGCTGATGCTGTCAAAGGGGCGTCGACGGCAGCTCTTTTGATGGGCGATGTAGATTTGGAACAGTTTTCCAGATAGGAAAGATCATCTGAACCAGAGTTGATTCAAGCTCTCACGGCACACACAATCTGTCGCTTGTGTGAAAAGGGGAAAGCACGTAAAAGATAGAATTCGTGAAAATTCAATAACGGCATCACTTAGTTACAGCACCTAGAGCACCAAAACACGCATGCAATATCGTTGTGTAGAGGTAATTGTAATGTTTGGCACGTAGCAGGCCTTCGGGCGACTAGGTATATATCTAATACTGTGTTCGTTACTAACGTTAAGCATGCGACAGGATTATTCCCCAGAGGAAGCCTCTGAGAGGGAGAGGATTGAAGATCTACGACAAATAAAAAGGTAGGTGAGAAGCTCACATATCGGTGACGGAGGAGCAGCTTCTGGCGTGAGGACATCCAGATTCAAAGGAGTGTCTCGATTAAGCGACGGATAGACATGGCTATTTTCCACTGTACCCTTATCAGTGCCAGATCGTATCGTGGCTGGCACTTCCAGAACTGGCCGGCTAGCTACGGCAGCAGACACTTGAAAATGAACGCTCAAACACGGATAAACTGTCTATCATAAGATGAAAGATACTAATATCTCTTACCTTCAGTAGGGATCTCTACACGTGTCCGCACTTCTTGGAAAAAATCATCCAAGAATTCCATTGTGTCCTGATCGATGTTGAATTTTATTGGCAGCATTGAGACCTGACAATAACATCGAAGTGTGACTTGTTCAACAGTCAAAATCATTGAGGATTTATTTATTTATACTTATTTATTTAGCCATTTATTTACTTAATTATTCATTAGAACACTCGCTGGTAATGAGCACATTTGTTCTTGAAACTGTATACCCGCTCAATCTATGCTGATTCACAGCTTGTACACGTTCAGCAACATGTTTCAATTAGCTGACCCCGCAAAACCCAATTGCACCATCCAGTGTGGTGAAAAATGCGACATTACTCGACGATTTCTACCCAAAAATGATGGGGCACGCAGTTTCCCTTTCTTTCAGCAGAATCGGACCACACCATTACTTTGTGCTTGTAATTATTTCAAAGGATTGCATATTACAACGATACCCGTTCCAATCAAGTTTGCAGCTTCTCAGAATGATACTACGCAAGGATGCTAGAAGCACTAAGTGAAATCTAGAAAGACGTCAACTTTTTTTTTCCAGTGAGAGAGCTTCTAAATAATTGCGAAGAAGGAAAAACGATAGATACGTTGCCATAGTACAATTCCAATCGCCATTCTAACTGAACGTTCCAGTTGGCAAAAGTATCACATTTTTTTAAAAAGAACTCACTCTGAGCTTCCCTTCGTTTTTATGAGATTCGACCACACGAACAGCTAACATCGGCGCGCATGTTCTTCGAGGTTGTTCAGCAGATGAGTACTGAAAGAAAATGTCACTTTCACAAAGCGGTTAGGAACTCGTTGTCAATGACACACCTGATACATCATTTCTTTGATCTGACTAGCTGTAAGCCTATCGTACAGCGTTATATCATGGATCGTGAACAGCTTCATTGCCATCAATGGCGCATCCTTGTTGAACTGTTGAAATATACAGGTAATCTGGAAATAAATTCGAATCAAATACAAAACAAAGCAAGAAGGAATTCCGAAAGAATACCTTTTTCAACTCGAGAACAACACAAACTGAATGATCACGATATTTTCCACCAACGGCATCTGGTGAGACAACCTGATTTTTTCCTTTACCCTCGCGATATTCAGGTGTACTATAGCTACGCTCCTTTGGAGGTTCCTCACCTGAATAAATAAAGCAGGATATACATTCCATTATCATCAAAATAAGAAGGGGAAAAACTAAGCGATCAAGTTCCACTCACTCAGGTCTGATCCACCAAACAGATGGACGCTTATGGAAATGTCGCGTAGCAAATATCTGAAACATATCACACCAATCACTTTGAAAACGACCCTTTGAAGACAGACCACAACGAGTAGTGCTCCTAATGTGTCGCGACAGGGTTGATGCTAAGTGTTTCACAACAGGTCCATGGCTAAGCAGTTTACATGAATGGTGAAAACTCATACCCTTAAGCTAACTATTCTAACACATTGAAGACAGCGTGATGCGAATGAGTGTCAGATTTTCACACCGATGAGTTTCGCTTTGTTCGATTTACATGGTACTTTTGATAATTCGAAGCTTTCCGTGTACATTATCGGATCCAAAAAAGAGTATCATCACCGGGATAAAAGGGTAACGATGACTCCAAATGAACAAAAAAAAGAACGCCGAGATACAAGCGCAATGGCCGCCGCCGGTGAGTCAATAGAAAACAGAAGCTCACAAGTATCAGATTATGGAAACATACCGTGCAACCGGCGATGGGAAGTCCGCCGGCAAAGCAGCTAAACCGTCACCACGCCATTCACTTGGAACACGAAAATGATGCGGATCAATGGTGATGCCGACATTTGATGAGGATCGATCGCTTCGAGAGCCAATATACTTGATATTCGGCTCACCAGTAGCATTCTGAGATATTTCGGGGATTTCGAAAACAATCAAGACTACAATATTTCGAAGCCCTATTAATAACATAGTTTCATTCTTCTGACACTCGCGTAGATGGTCAGCAGTCAGCACTCTAGTACACAACATGTTCGCCTCACTCCACGTCAGCCAGCAACAAGTACACGGACTGAGCTTTTCAAAAGATAACGAAACAAAGAACAGAAAAGCGATCAAACTTTCTTACGGAGCTAGGAAAAGGGCATTGAGAAAGAAATTCGTTGTCAAAATAATACAATACGCTGCAAGAATGAGTGCGCCCAAACCTAGTTTGCCATAATTATGTCTAAAAATGAGTGCACAAACCTTGCACTCCTAGAAGTTACTAGATAATATAGACTCACAGTGATCCCGCTACCGATAACGTCTTCGTCCACCATACAGAATTCATCATCAGTTGACAATGAATATGCTCGATTTCTTTCAGTCTGTGCGGTCTCCACTAACGCCTTCGCGAGCAAGTTCTGAAGCGAAGCGCACATGTTGTTTTAGTTTATCTCACAATTGGAACAGGTCATAAATCCGAGATCAACTATTCAACTTCTCAAAATAGACATATCCGGCTCTTCGATGTACTAAGGAGGAAACTGCTCTCACCTGGTTGACTGAGAAATTCGGAGAGAACTCTTCAAGTGCATCTCTTCCACATGGAATCCCTGCAGATGCACCGCCAGACGGTGATGGTGATACCTCTTGCATCGCAGAAGCAAGCATACGCTGAAGTGAGCCATAATTGTGATCAGAGCCAATCACCAGGAACTGTACAACTATACCTTCATTTTCATCTCAACCGGTTTCGGAAGATTTCCTATCTCTTGACTGGTGGAAGGAGTTGACGCGTTGCGCTGAATCAAGGTTGAGGTAACTCTCGCCGAATCCCTTATTTTCAACACATTTCTATTCAATTCCTCAGTGCCAACTCTAACAAGCTCACCAATCGATCTCGTCTTAGAGAACCTGGAGTTGAGTTTCAAATCAATGTGTATCTCAGGGTCGCTATCAACAATCGCAATTTTTGTATTTCGAACGATAGCTGTCAACTTCATGCGGAAGCTGTTTTGGACTAGTCGCTTACAATCATCCTCACTCCTGTTCTGCTTGGCCTGTTGCCTTCGCTGCCTAGCTAGCTAGCCCCAACAGGAAGTATTAAAAGGTAATGTATACGTAAAATAAAAAAGTGTCATGTACGAGTGAGGTTGTGAAAAAAAAATTGCGCGCATCTCTAAATGAAAATAGTACAGCTTCGTCTATTTCCCTATTAGTATACAAGCTCGTTCCAAACAAATCTACGATTTTAAATCGTGAAATGAGTGCTATACTCACTTCGGCGGGTGAGCTATCCTCGCAGCTGTCCATAGACGGGCATTTGGAGACTTCCTTCGGCTCAGCAGTGGCAAATTTCTCCGATCGAGAAATTTCGGATGCCAGATTAAGCAAGACGACAAGAGAATCAACACACACCCAAGCCTGTGGAAAAAGCCCATTTAGCTCAGAGGCAACTGCTAATTAACAATTGTATGCACTCGTACCTTGATTATATCATTTCGACACCGAATTTCAAGAATTGGGGCGCTGACGTGAGTATTCTCACTGACAGGAAAGAAGGAGGACAGAATCTGAAAAAGGAGCTTTTGTCCTCCTTATATTCTGAAGGCAGTGGATATGCTGAACGACTTGAAAACGTTAACCGAACACCTGTAGAAAACTTGTCCACCAAACACCTAAAGGATAAAGTATAAAGCATTTGCTGTTCATCAATCCCTTTTTGGGATGCGGCACGCATTCTACTTCCATTTGTACATACGTAGTGGCGTTTGAATGCGATGTGGCCTATACAATGACTTGCGGGGACCAGCCAATGTACAAGTCAGTGTTTTTATCCTCCCAGACAAGTGTGGTACCAATTAACCGACCCCGGAGGAAAGGAAGGCTTGGTTGGCCTGGGCGACTCACGACCCAGGATTTAATCCCCGGACCGCTCGCGTGGTAAGCGTGCCACTTGCCAATACACCATTTCCGCCCTTGCCCACATACATGAGAACAAGACTTGAACAATTTTATTTGTATAGTGAATAGAGTAACTGATGCTGCAACTTTGCAGCCAGAACTGAGCCAGACTCACCAAGCCACTAGTCATGGACGGGTGAAGAATGCTCTCCTATATTTTGGAAAGCGAGGAATGAGGCAACCGTAGGGCCTCAACTAATTGCCCACCAATTTACGGTGTGCCCAGGGTAACAACGTCTTTGTACAACACCTCCCTTTGGGAGCCATCGAATCACATTTTTTTGCAGATCCTCCACGTGTGCACCTTGCATACACACCTCGTGATCGAATTGTATGGGCATAACGTTGAAAAAATGATAGTAAAGGTGCGAAGTAAACCGAGAGTGAGGAACGAAAAAGAAATGCAGCAAAATAGAAGACCGCATTTTCCTCGAAAAAAAGAACAGAGTGTCGTCCGGTTAAATAATTGCGGAAAATTCATAATTAGATTTCTACTTGAGACAATTCATAAAGTTGCGATTTCAAATTCCATATAAAAATTCATAAATCACCTCCAATTGGAACAATCCAACGTCAACGACTTTGAAGAACTTCCGTTTTACAGGGCTGTTCTTCGACGCTTGTCCACCAGACCGCTGTTCCACAAAACGAACATTATCCTTCGACTTCTTGGCATTACTCATGTACAGTCGTGCACCTTCGAAAATGCTCACCACCTGCAGCAAAATACAACCAAGTGTAGTAGCGATTAATGCTTTTAAGAGGTACAAGATGGGCTCACTTTGGCAGCGTTCATGTCCTGAATGATGGAACTGCTTATATCACTTTCACCCAGCACTAACCTGAAAACATTGGTATATAACATGAAGCTAATTTGCATGTTTTCTAACTTTCGCACCTCAATCGAATATCACTTTCAGGCTTGGTCCACGCGTGATCGTAGGCCAGAACTACGTTATCCAAATGGATGTGCAAATCAGTCTAAATTGTATGCAAGAAGTTTAAATAACATCGAACAATATTATTTCCTTCTCACCGTAACGACAGGTAGCTCATAACCAGGTATAGGGTAGTCCTGCAGGGCAAACAACTCTGCTAACTGGAACATCCACGTCTCCTTGGAGCTACGAAAAGGTCGCAGCTGCACACAAGTACTCCGAACAGCAATAGCAAGCAGAACATCCTAATACAACAGGAGTGAGTGCCTTAATTTGTAGAGGGATGCTGATTTAGATCAACAAGATACCTTAATATTCTGTCCAAGCCGCTCGCACAGAAAGATCGCAACTCCGACTGAGTCGTCGCTGCACTGTGAACTGAACTCATCCGAAGAAGAGATGGAGTCCATCTGCGTATCGTCACGACTCCATTTCCCGAAATCAGCCTGATTCACCACTTTTGGCATCGTGCAAGCATCTGCAACGGCGCGAAATCAATAAAATCGGAAAAGACAGGAAATGGGGTATGAGGAAGATGCCTCACTTCTGTGCCCAACACCAATCGTATGTGTAGTGAAATAAAAGTAGGTGTCACTTATACGTCCGTGATACCCGGCGACCGCAAACAATTGCGCATCCGAAAGTTCGATCGAGACCTGGCCCATTTCGTTTCGATCAGCATTCTGAAAAAATAAAAGGAAAATTTCTTTGGAGGGCGGAATAGTCCTACAAAGCGGAGCAAAAAGCATATTTCCTTGCAATAGTAACAGTAAAAAAGAACTGTGCTAATCTAAGGGCTAAGCAAACTGGCAGGAATAAAAGTAATCAACTAGTCACAAAATTTGAAACTATAAATCTTCCACAAAGCTTTTACATAGCGAGCTAAACGCTGGATATTTTGAAACAAAATTCGTTAAAGTGTATAAAAACCTCATCAGCGCCTGTGCACATCAGCATTGTCCCTTTCTTCACATTCAACAGTAGACTGAGAGTGTGCGATTTGTTTTTGTCGTAGCCATTCGCCTGTGACGACGTAAAACGTTCTTCTTCACAGTCGTCTTCATCTAAAATTGTATTGGAAACCAGAATGACACATTTGACTCATTTACTCACTGAACTTCTCAAACTTACAGCGATCCACTGGATCCCCGCCGCATTCATGGAACATGTCATCACTGAGGGCATTGATCTTGAATTCATCATCACCTGGCCTTACGCTGGGTGCAGCTGGTTGCCACAAAAGGAGATCATTCACCTAAAAAACTTGGGTGGAATAAATTCGCTTCATATTATCTTATCAAGATGTTCCAAAATTTAACTAGTGGTCACACAGCGAATGTGAAAGAATACCCTGCCGCCGAGCAAGTTACCATGGCCTGCTTAACAACTTTATGAAATGAGACAAGCGACATGACGAGCATGGGGGAGATGGTTGGATCGAACTGAGTTTTCTCCCGTTGCCGGCGACCCAGTGAAGCGTTACCTTTGTCAGCTTCCTTCAACGTCAACGCCTGGTTTTTAGGCTCCTTAATTGTCACTGCTCTATAGCTGTGAGATGTGTTGCGACAGTTTCACTGATGTCAAGTATGTGCAGTAACGTGATTATGGATAAATTGATCACTGCACCCATGAAGTTCTTGATCACATTATTCAAATAAGCCCGTCATAACAACGACATCAGCGTTGGTCTTTACATGGGCACAGGGCATGAACGAAACCAAAGCAGAAAAAGATCTGCCTGAACAAAACACTCTCCACCCTTACACAATAATCAATTAACTATGGCATTAAAACAAAAAAACTCACCAGCCTATTGTAAAGCACCTCAAGGTAAGAATGGCTCGGAATCAAAAGCCGAAGAATCGGTATATCCAGCGATATCACCAGCACCGACTGGAGGATACATCTCGCTCCGAATGCTGTCATCTCCTCACGAGAACCAGCCAAAATCAACTGAAAAAGCACATATTGAGCACGAACTTGGATCTTTTCTAGAAACTCTCTACAGAAACCTACATCGCTTCCTTCTTCGTGATTGTGGAGGTACGAGCGGTGAGTCTGTGCGAACGGACCTTCCCTTTGTGGTAATGACTGCATGACAGAAAGTGAAATGCTCTTCGTCATATCGTCACCAATGCCGCTGACGTAATGAATCTTGGTGCTGGAAGCCTTGAGAGCCTTGTTGCGAGGATCATATTCGAATTTCACACTATAAGCAAAGTATATTTCTGAACGCGTATGACAGTAGAAAGGCCTAGCTGGGTGGTGTCGAAGAAATTTATATAGTAAGTTTGGAAAAAACTGCAGCTCGAAAAAATTGGAGTAATGATGAATCTGAGCCTTACTAAAAGGAAGAATTAGAGGACGCTAAGTTCAGACAACTCTGTATCAATCTGATTGAATACGGTGACCCCGAGATCAATAAAAGCATCTAAGGTGTTACACTCGACATGGAGAAGTACATAAACCATATGCGAGTCAGTCTGCTCGTGGTTGTTGTATCCTTTCACATAAACTGCCGGTAAACACACAAACAAATATAAACACTCACTGGACAGGTTCGTCTACCGATGTCTGTCCTCCCCAAAGGAAACGGCGGTCCTCATCCGAACACGTGAACTTCTCTGATACACCACAAAAACTGCCTAAAAGGCGAAATTGGCAAGTGTTCGGGACATGTAGATAAGGTAACGGAGACATGACGCGGGTAATATTGCAAAAGTACCGTATATTTCCGTAGCGAATAGTTCCAATAACGTGCTCTCGCCACCGATGGGCATTTCTACCGTCACTGAATTGATATGCAAACCGATGTATTCTGGATGAACGTGACGTTGACGATAAGGTAGTCGAGCTCCACTTGGATTGCGCAGGTCAGCTATCGGTATCCTTAAGGCAACGAGAATAATAGATAATTGAAATTTGAAATTAATAATGGAAAACTGGAACTCAGACAGTGATGACTTCACCTTAGGTTGACATCTATAGCATGGCACTTCAAAACCACCATCAATCGGCTAGGCTGTTCAACAACAAGTGGTACACCGAAGAGATCGTCACGAAGTTGAAGGGGATCCTTCCTTCAAATGGTTACGTATATTCCAAGCGATAGAAAAGTGCTAGCAGTTGTGTGAAACAAACACCAGATTGTAAATAAAAACGAGGTTACTAATAAACGAAAAGCAATTATGAAAAGACGTGCACGATTAACCTCACGATACTATCCAACCTTGAGCGCTTATACGATGGTAAGTCAAAAAATGGCCGCGGCTCAAAAAGATCCGCAATCCTATCCACTATGCTCAGATCCAACTCACATCGGCATTTCCCTAGGTAGACGTACGCCTTGGACTGTAACAGAATGGCATGAGAAATGAATAATAAACATTCACTCGAAGAACTAGAAAACTTACATCTTCGCCACCCGCAGGAGATGAAAAGACCAGTTTAAGTTGTGGTTCCTGGTCAGGATTCTCGAAATTTGAGAAATCAAATAGCGGTATATGAGGGTTTTGCGGTTCACGCTAAAATCAGTCGAGTAACTTGGTGGCATCGCAAGAGAAAGATCCAGAATAGGGTAGACATACTGGATTAGATTCCGGAGTCAGGTACTCTATGACGTCCACATTCGGAAAGATCAATTTCGCTTTCATTTGCTCACTCGTACTACTTTTGTCCATCTGATAATTGAAGACAACAGATGTCCCAACAATTCTGTAACCTTGGTAAATTACAACTAACTCGCTCACAAACGGTAAACACATATAACTGTACCTGAGATGGTCTTTACTGTACAATTTATCCAACATATTTCTTGCATTATGCAAATTTGAGGGCTTCAGAGAAATTTTTGCAGCTTTTGCGAAGAAGCTAAATGAGAACCATTCTAAACGAATAATTTTCTAATGGGAATATTATTGCCTCAGTTACCTTTCGGACTCTTCTAAAATATGATCTATCGCTTCATGACAACCATTGCCGAGGGTTTTCACGTACTCAACAGACATTGTGTCATTGTGAGGGATGTAAACAAGAACCGTTCCAATTTTCGCAGACAACAATGTGCTTTCCTTCTTTGACGAGTCTGTCTCTTAAAATGAACACAAAATTAGTGAGGGTGAACAAAATCGAAAAACAAAAAACTAACTTATAGTGTTGTAGTTCTCACGACACGCTTCACTTAATTTCCTCAACGAACGGTTGTCTTCCAAATTTACAGAATCAAACTCATGAAAATCATCTCGCCTGCTCCACGTGCCTAGAAACACATTATTCAAAAAAAATGGTTCTGGAACTGAACATCAACCACACAAATTGCCGTAAAAACCCTACTGGAGGGCAACATCTCGATGACCCCCAACCAACCTTGCATTCCTAACGTGGTTAAACGAGTTTTCTGGAACGCTTCCTCCTCAATATTTTTCGCCATTGCATCATAATCGGACTTATCCATCTTCTTACCAAAATCATTCAATTTCTCGCCTTGAGGCAGTGATACCGAGTTGAAGAACCTAGAATTTGCGAGTAAAATCACACACCTTCGTAATAGTGGTTGCGTCTGGCAGAAAAATTCCAGAGCAAAAGCCTCCCTACCGTTTCAGAATATCGAATTGTGAAGGCAAGATGAAACAATGTAAACCCGTAAAGAACGACTCGATTTCGACCTGAGAGTTTCCAGTATACGGGAATTAATGCGATGAGCAAAAAACGAAAACAAAATCAATAACACACCCTGTTATCCTTTTTGTCAGCTACAGCATCAGAATTTTTTATACGAAAAATCAGTCGAGATTCTCCAATAAACTCAGCAAATTTTACAGGACTAGATATTAATCTGCAGAGAAATAATACAATTTAACAGATGGTGGGGAGAAAAATAGAGAACTTACTCTCGCTCAGTATCTACTCTTGTGATTTTGAAAGGTTCTCCTACTGATTGATTCAAAGATTCGCCCGCATTTACTGAAAAGGACAAGTTACGTAATACAGCTTGTCAAAAAATGAGTTGACTGAGCAAAGAAAATAAGTTCGCTGACTTACAGTTAGAGTAGCATGACTGAAAATTGGCAGTAGATGATGAGAGAGCTGATGTGAAAAGCTCAGGAGATATCGACTCGTGGCTAGCTAGCGTTGGAGACTTCTAAAACGGAATTACAGTAGGCGTGCGGATATTAGCTTACAATTGCTAACAGCTTTAATGGAATGGTAGGAGGAAGAATAAAAAAAATACCTCCCAAACAGCAATGCACAAGAGGATCGGGTAGTACTGCATGTTGCCTTGTAGGTTTTGAAGGTACTCATTGATGGGTAACAAAAAACCCTACTTTAAGACACCTTTTTGAGCTACACCTTTTCAAAAATCCTCCCGACTTTGATGGTGGGGCCCTAAACTGCGAGCCTTGCACCTAGACTGTGGAACAGATGCGTATCGATTGTATGGTTGTATAAGCGACACGTACTTTACTCAAGCACCGACAAACAAGTGCCAGGGAGCTGAGAGCTGTGACCGCGTCCTAAAGGACTCAGCAGCATCTTACCTTTGCATTCCTAACCAGACTTTTTTTTATCCCTTCCTACCATAGTGACTCTTCACGGCAACCCCTTGTTATCCCTATTCCTATAGAATTTTGAGTGTAGGCACTGTAGCCGACAATACTCGTAATGTGGCACAAAAACGCTTTGCAAGTTCCAAAGTCTAAGAAAATAGTGGGTGAAATGATCGACAACTCATACTGTTCCATGTCAAAGTAAGCCTTGAATATAACACGAAAACTTACATGTTTTTGTTTTTCTCGTCTTATGTACATACTCGTAACAATCTGACTAGAATTATTATCGGAAAGTTGATCCTCTAATTCCGTGAAAACGTCGGTAAATATTTCCACACCTTGAAAATACAATTTCGGAGCAATGGCAAAAAAGAAACATTTGCTAGCTAGTACCTGACATATCCATAAACTTGTTGAGGTTTGCAATGCTTCCCATTCCTTGTGGTTGACTTGTGATCGTCTCAGCACTTCTACCTTCTTGCTGACAATTTCGCATCTGTTCGTCCATGAAGCGCACTCTTAAAGGTAGTATGGATAGGCACTCAAAAAATTATACACGACAGTCGACGAGCACAAACGCCATTGCAAACAGTTACCAACTAACGAAAGTATTAAAGACATAAAAATGATAAAACAAATCGACTCAAGCCCTATGCATACTTACTCTTTAATCCGGATTTCGATAGCAGTGCACATGTCTGACAAAAGCTTTGGCGGATTTTCCAGTCGTATCGTTGTGTCGATTAGTTCCAGGCAGAAACGTGATACAATCGCATCGATAACCTAATTTGACCGGCCAATAAACCCCTATACAAATTACACGAAAAAAAGTTAAGATCAAAGAGTGAACCTTAGTAAAGGCTTTGACTCCATCCTTGGCTTCAGTGTCGAATTCTTCTTCACCAGCTTCTTTCTCGTTCTCATAAAAACTTCGAGCTAATTCGCTAGACGACACAAGAGATTCGACTACACTACCGATCATTGATGAAACTGCAATAAAGAAGAACATTACATTTCTGTAAACCCTGGAACTATGTGTGGTTCTCACCGAGATCTTTATTGTCAAGCTTGACACCATCTCGCGACTCAAATGTCAAATCCAACTGCCTCACTTTCATTTTACTTGCATCAGATGTCAGAGCACGCCATGGGACTTCTGAATTGATACTAACTTTAGTAATACCCTGCAAAAACAGTCCCTAAGCAAGGGTAGAAGAGAGATTCAGGGAAAAAGTCCAAAGAAAAATAAGATCTATCGAAAAAAGCAGTATAAGAAGTAAAATTATAGAGATTCGGCAATTAATCAAGCTTCAAGAATATTACCTATTGTTATGCCTCCAACAAAGCCATCTGTGAGCCTCAACGGCACGTTCATGGACGTAAGAAGTTCGTTTACATACTGAAAAAAAACAGGTGATATGAGCTCATAACCCTTCCTGACAATATAATCGAACATTAGAAAAGGCACTACCGCGAGCGGGATGGGTGAGGCATTCTCTAGGATCAAGCGCGGAAGGGAGAAGAGGTCGGAGAGAATGAAGATCGCCCACGCACCTAGCATATTATCCTCCCACCCCTCCCTCCCCCCCCCCCCAAAATTGTAAATTGACCCAAAAAAATGTTTGCTGTAGTTTCAAACGCGCTGCAACAACAATGCCCTTTATCTTGCGACAGCGCATATGAAATTTGGTGAGAATTCAAAAGAATCGATGACTGCCTTTTCATAATGACTGTATTCATAGATATAACAAACATAGCAAATAGAGATTTATTTGCGAGGGCGCGCATCAATAATTCGCTGAACAACTGCTTCCCGACTAAGAGATTCCTTCTCCGTTGAGATGATGCATGCCCCATTATCAAGTTTGGGATGGTAAACCACCAAAAGGCATGTTGTATTCAAAGACACTTTCCGCAACCGCATAGTGTGAACTTTTGAGCACAAAAATGGAAGTGGACGCGGTGATTGTCGACCAGTAATAAAAGAGCAAATTAAACTGGTAAACCCTCAAAGCCACTTCACAGGCTTTGGCGAAAGGTGCATCGGTTGGGTACCTCGGTGTACCGTAGCAAAAGCTCAATCAAGCAATAGCAGAATGCACTCAAGTGTCGGATCATGAACTTGCAAATCGTGCATAGAGTAGATCAGGGTGAATAACGGTCGAGGATTTCCTCGACCATAGCTCCCTACCATGCGAGAGTAGTGCCGAGAGTGAACGTCCGCGCGGAGAGCACAGACGGCACGCCCATGGGGAGTGTGAATGTCCTCGCGCGAGGTCGTGTTGACCGGGCAGAGAATCCTCGACGTGCCGTTGAGGAATCCTCAAGCAATATTCACCCTGGAGTATACGCGACCGCGCGATCGCATGTGTCGATACATATCTGGTGCACGAAAAAAACGGGAGATCGGAAGGGAAGGTTCGACCCTGAACCCAAAATAAGAAAGAGTCGTCAGAAAAAGTCCGCGGAGAAATTCTTTGAAAAGGGCAGTGTAATATTGATATGCAGAAACGTTTAGGTTCTCCAACACCAATGCCCCTCCAACTGCAAGGACTAGAAAAATTTTTATCGACTTTTTTTAAAATGTGCTCCCAAAAAGAAATACTGAGTTATGGGAATTGCCACTGCAAACTCTACTACTTAAGTATTACTATTCTAATAGAAAGGCCGGTGTCAGAGGCGTTGAACAATTTGGACGAATCTCGCGACGGATCGCAGACTATAGCTACGCCAGCCTAATAAGGAAAAGGAGCGAGACACCGAAGACTAGTGATCACTCAACGATGACCAGTTCGATGTGACTTCGAGTGCACTCACAATTACTGTATATGTGAATCCCACTCAGAACAAAACCTGCTTGATTAGCGACCAAAATAGGTTGTGACACATGTTGGTCACACAGGAGAAACAACCCTATGCCAAAGCAGTTGATCGGACATAAATGCTATGTCAGCTAAAAACCTTTCTAAAGAAAAACTTGGAAAAAGGGAAATGACTTGAAAAACCACTCACATGTGCGTTGATTTTCACTTCATTTATTGAAAGTTCTCCAGCAATTAATTTCACAGAAAGCTGATCAAGTGTTAGATTCTGCTCGAGAAACTGTCCAAGATATCGCTGGATCATGAAGCGACACCATCGTGTGTGGAGGCCCTCCGTAATATTAAAATCGGAAAGCTTCATGCAATCTACAAACGTACTATTAGTTACTACAATACGACAAAAAAAAGACTTTCGACGTCAGAACATTGAAACGAAACTCGAAAGGAATAACGGCAACTATTGATCGCATGTCAACGGCGACTCTTTCTACCAAATGCAAGGAAAACACACAATTCCGATTGGATTTTTATGTCAACACTATCGAGACAAACTGCTCTATGATTTCCTGTTGTTAGCGATAAAACTCTTAGAGAAACCATGGTAGGAAATCAAGAACAAACTTCAGTTTGCTAAGGTTTCATAACAGAATCAAAATCTAATTTTGGTAGGGGATACTTGCTCAACTAGACCGCTTCGCTCGCGAAAGAGTTTATCGCATGATAGTCAAACACTGAAAAAAAAACCGTTGAATCCACATGATCACAACAGTTCATTGCGTAAAGCTCGATGTTTTTAGCATTACGATACGCAGGCAACGCTCAGCTGATCGCAATATTTCGTTGCGTAAGGCTCAGCATGGTTAGCGCTCCGATACGCAGGCAACGCTCAGCTGTTGCATGCGCTGTATTTCGTGTTGAACTAACGATTATTATTGGATTTCTTGTGTAACAGCGGAAAAATTGCTGTTGCCGGAAATTCCTTGCACACAACCTTGTGTTCTCAGTGCAAAAATCTATTTATTTCTTCCGCTAATGCTTTCTTAACATTAAAACAATCTGTAAAGGGGAGAGGGGTCGCTGTGATGTACAGCCCAATGCATTTGAAACACCGACAAACTTAAAGCAACAGTTTCAGGGAAGGGTCCGACAAATCTTCAATGCTCACACTACTGAGGATACACGAGCCCTAGTGAAGAAACATATGCCACGTGGAAAAATAACCCAACTTAACTCAGAAACTCAAAAAACAGGGTGGCATCCAACCATGGTTCTTGGATTTCCCCAATCCCGCCCGCCCTTGCCGGCGCCATGGACCGTCGGCAATTCGTGCTCGTTTTGGGACCCACACAGGGATAAATTGATGAAAAAAAAATGAGCGCGTTCCAGCGGCACGTTCAGACAATCTCGTCCACAACGTGCGTCTTTATCGCATTGCTGAGCGGCAAGAGAGATTACCTGTCTAAAGAACCCTCCCCCGACGTTTTTTTTCAGTTTTTTCATACATAATCGCTGGTTTTCACACCTCTACAACTTCATTAGGGGTTGGTTTTTTCCCGGCGAAACGTTCCTGATACTGTTGCTTTAAGTGTGGTTCATGCCCACTTCGCTCATGGATGCTAACTGAATCACTGGGTTCCGCAGAAAAAGCTCGCAATGCAGGAAGCCCAAAAAGGCGCATTATGTTCTAATTACCCACACACGCAAACCGGTGCAACTAGTCTGGTGGGGGTGGGCACACGCCGCGCGCGGCAGTCTGCCTTCACTCTGGGCTTCTCGAGCAAGATAGTGTTAAACTCGAACCATTACCCAGCTTTCACGCACGGTCAAGTGACTGCCCCCACAACCCCCACCCCCCTAGACTCGCCTACACCGTTCTCCTGCCACGGATTTCCGAACATGCAGGCGAGCAGACTGCGCGCCGCCGCGTGGCCGCCCTCCCCCAACCTAACAGTTAGCGACAGCAACCTCTTGCAATAAACACTAAGGCCTCAGGATGCGAGAGACTCACTAGGTATGTACGGTTTTCAATTTCCCCAAAGTCCTTCCTCTTCTATGGCTTAGTCTCTGAAAACTTCATACCCCCGACTCTCACAGTGGCTTCTTGCACTTTAAGCTACCAAAACAAGTACAGCATACAAACCATTCAAAAAATGGAGGAGAAGAAGCCCACGCAACAACTTTCAACCTATAAGGAACTACTTGAGCCAAATGGCATTAGAGCAGTTATTCGTACCGCAACCCCTCAGGGGATTCATGTCGTTCGTCCGATCGTAATGATCGGCACGCACTGGATGCCTATCGATCTGGTCGCCAGACTTGTCCGCAGAATGACGATCGATACGCATATAACGCTCTACACCGATCGTTACATGGGTGGTTCACATACGACAGAAAGCGACTTTTTCGCGTTCGCAGCGCGAAGCATTTTCCACCGCGGGAACCTCAGGTCCACCACTGATCATCAGTGTACCCGAAGTTCCTACAACGAATCATCAGTAGATCTGAGAATGTTTCGCGCTCCGAAACGCGAAAAAGTCGCTGCCTGTCCTGATCAACCACACACCGTTACGATAGAGTGACCAACTATAAATTGGATCAGATCTTAATCGAGCTTTTGGTGATTTTTGTCCAAGGCTAATCTACTGAACTCTAATGCTTCTCTTCGTGCGAACTTTACCTGTGGTTTGTAGCTTTACATATCCACTGGTTCTTTCGTGTGTTAAATTGCATTTGACTGTGCAAAATATGAAATTTTATGATAGAAAACTGCAGAGATAGTCTTCAATAACTGGAAAGCCCATCAGCGAAAAGAGTTGTTTAATGGGTTTGATACGAAACTGAATGCGAAAGAATGCATCAAATTCAATTCTGTAGCGAGTGAGTCACTCTCTGTAAAGAGCAATCGAAGAAATGGGGCAGTTTTCGTGGAATTTCGTCGTCAACGTTTTTCGGACGCTATACTAGTACTGGTGAAGCTGAAGTACTTTCAAAAGGGAATTCAATGTATATCTTGGACAAAAGTACTATACGCCGCTGGTAAGCATTGTGAAATTCATCCTGGATCCATAGTCCTAGAGAGTCGGATCATACTTTGCGATTCGAGTGTGAAATGGATAGCTATCGATCGTGCCACAGCGAATCGATCAAAATTTTACCTAGTGCTCGAGGACAATTTAATCAACCAATAATTCGGGTGACTGAAGGATACAGTCAGAGTATCAGAATGCAGTAGCCGCACTGAGATCGAAGCCGTTGTGTCGTGTTGGCACAGAATTTTGGCACTTCCCCAAGGTTTTAACGGAACTAGTTGTTAATTATGATGGACATCGTTTGCTGGCACATCAACTTTTCCACGTATACTTTGCCTTCTGCTGCTTGGTATAATTTCAAACTTGTGTTAGTGGCACTTTCGGCATCGTAGAGCACCAAGAGCACCAAATAGCACATGCGATATCGATTTTTTCGAAGCCATTGCTGCGTATTGCACTGCACTTCCAATTACGGCATGCTCGGCGGCGGGAAACAAAGTGTAAATGCGTTCCTACGGAAAAAGATTTTTTCAAGATTCCCTTGAAGATCCAGTTGCGATTGCCAATTACAGTGAACGAAGTTAGCGCAGAATGTAGGAACGATGCTTTCTGTTTACGTTTAATGGCATCCATACAGTCCATATCTCGAAGTCTGATTGGACCGGAAATGACGTGGTGGCCACGGCACTTGATAGATGTCGTGTCGATAAGATACTCCGCCAGATATCAAGCTGGAAGCAGCTTATTCGGACAACTTCTATCAGTACGGTGGCAGCCACGTCATTTCCATTGACGCGCCCAATCAGACTTCGAGATATGGACTGTACATGTATAGGAGGGTAAGACTTCGAAGAGTGTCGCGAAGTAGGCAGTGACAAGCTTCTAGGATTCAGTGAAAATGTCATGTGTATGGCGCGTGCTGACTATTCTATACGTTTTCCTACACCCACACGTAGAAGAAGTTTAATTTGAATTATGCCTCCATTTTAGTTCCTACTGATTGTTAGTATAGGGTACCGGGAAACAGTAACAGCATCATCGCAACCGATACCGAAGTGTTTGTAAGGAAGAAGTACTTATAACTACTGTGAATCAATGTAAAAGAAGAGTAGGGTAAGTGCGCATACAAGGGAGTCGTGAACCCGTTAATTAGTGTTACTAACGGTCTATAGCAGTAGAGAAATTCTTATCGAATTAGGCTAAACACTGAAATTTTCCGAATTGATGACATAAAGTAAGTGAAAATCGAGTAATATCACTTTGATGTAAGCGCTTAATGTAAAACTCTAAATAACAGCTAAAAGAGAATTTGCAGCCAAAACTAGAAGTGTGATAGGCTCCATGCGCAACCGTTCTAACCGTTGTTAGGCGAATGTGTTGAGAGAAGTTGTTGAAGTGATGGGGAGAAAAATAGAGATGCTGCAGCGAGCACAGCAGAACTCTAAAAGTGCCAGTGCCCCTCCAAAAAAAAAGGAGCGCTAAAAATTCGATAGCGCAATAAACCGGGTCATGGAGGTGTGGCGACAACGATGGCCAATCACAACTGCTTCACATGACGTTACCAGCCGACTAGATTGATATCGTTTTCCTCGGATCTTTGGTTCTAATAGAAACGCATGCGTTAGAACTTGAACTGTCGTCAATCGATAAAAAGGATTTCGCTACTCGGTGTCTTTACTCTAGTATGTGACAGTGAAGAGATGCTCGTAAACAAGTCTCGCTGAAGGAACGAGTAAAATCTTACAAGGTCTAACTATCCTTTTTAAAGCACTAAAACAAAGTAGAAAGCATTCAAAATGAGAAGAAAATGACAAGAGAGTAAAAATTTCGCGATACTTTTTATTTACCCAGTACTGTAACTCGTCTCACTATCAGATTGCTAGACAGAACTCACAACCGGCCAACCCTTGTTGAAACATAATTTTTTTCTAATTTTAGTTCTAACATGATCAGAGCCTCTGTGTGACTTTTCTGTTGACTATTTTCGCTCGAAGGGTGGAACTCGAACGCCTGCTGAAGACCGACGATTCACTGCGAAACCGTTAGCCATAAATGCTCCACCGAACAACCATGCGTAAGGCAAACATAAGAAAATTTTGTTTAAAGCTTTACCAACAGACATTGCCGAGCTTACATAAAATGAGACCAGAGTTTGGAAAATTATATTTTTTGCCTATAAAACATTCGCACGTCTACTTCAACCAAGATGTTCTTATATCCGCCAGGATCTGTTTGATATTAAAACAGTTTTGTCCAAATAATTACCCCAAACTTTACTAGAATTTAATATTTCGCTGTTCTTTTCGGTCTTCTCGTGATGGTAGCGAGCAGA